ATAATAATAATAATAATAATAATAATAAAAAGCTGAAAGAACATCCAAAGAATGAAATTCAATGATATTGGAGTTAACCCAAAACAACAAAAACAAGCAAACTTTTATTGTTGAAAACAGATACATTGGAATTGAGGAAAACAACAAAGACACTCATACAAACCCTCGCTAGGGCAGGCTGGTGGTGTGGGCTGCAATTGGTGGCCGAAACAGGGGTATAGGTTGAAGGTTCAGGGGTGTGGATGTGGGTGGAAAAGGGAAACTGCGGCTGTGGGTTAGGCCGGTCAGCTGTAAGTAGGGGTAGGGGACCGGCTGAGAGTAGTTGGCTGCATGTAGAGGGCGGTGTAGGCTGGTTACAAGGAGGAGGATGAGTGTGGTAGGGGTAGGGGGAGTCGGGAGAAGTGATTTGGGTAGGTTACAGGGAAGATGATGAATGTGGCAGGGGCAGAGATAGGGAAGAGTCAGCTACATGTAGGAGGAGGGGAAGTTGGAGAGAATACGAGGAGATAACCTCTACCTTGGAGCAGGATACAACGAAAGCACCAACTTTGCTTGGATATAACCCTAGCAAGGGATAAAGACGCCAGTGCAGAAAAAAATCAAAGCAAAAATCTCTCTTAACCAAAGAAAACAACATATATATAATAGATAACTAAAGAGTAGCCCATTCACTTGGGCAGCAAACATAACCCAATAGCAAGGGCCAGCGGCTCCTTGAACCTGCCTTGTTGATCAGCATCCCTAGCCGGTTCAACACAGGGATGAGCCCCGCATCACTCAAGTTCAAAACAGAGTAGATGAAAATTATCATTGGGCTTTCTTGGCAATAAAAATTCTCATTCTCCGGACATTATCTGTATGCTGATGCATGAGGTAGTCACTCTATGAAAGGAGGACCTCAAAAAACATTTAAGCAAAAGCCAAACCTTTCCCTATTGCTTCATATAAGAAATGGTTGAATTAGTCATGAATGATATTTAACCAAAGAAAAAAACACAGGTACATTGACCACAAGAAGAGAAAGTCCATCCCATTTTTTTAAAAAAAATACATTGTGATCTCTTCTTATTTTCCACTCAGCTTAACTTAGATTGTAAACAATGATAAAGACGGCAAGAATGCAACTTACTTTGCTCTTTGCACGCTCCTTTTCCTTTACATCTTGTTTGTACTTCTCCTTGCTGTAGTCCATAAGCTTGCAAACAGCTGGCTTGAAAACAGGAGACTGTGCTCCACCTTCAACCTTCACTTTTCTTTGAACCTGAAACATTTACAAATAAGCCTAAAAATGCTGTAATTGGAGATCTACTAGTAGCAGTCTATTGAGCTAATATAGAGCTTTTCAATTTGCACTAACGAAGATACAATAAGTAGACAAATAAAAAAAAGACAAAAAATCAAAAACATTGTACCAAGAGTATAAGAAAAACAATGAATTACTGTCATAAGAACTCGTCATAAATGCATGATAGATCACACTCGTACAAAAAAAAGGGGCATTTAATTACATACGACCCAATTCCTATGTATTTACATTTCTATCACCTAAGCTTTTCTATTTTATTTATACCACAAAATCATTCATATCACATCAAATATACAATTATTTTAACTTTTAAAAAGTGAGATACACCTTTTCAAGCATAGTTAAGGTGGCATATATGTAAAGATTCATGTTTAGAGTTAGATAAGTAAATAAATACGAATGGAGTGGTATGTATGTAAATTATCCAAAAAAAGTATATCCATAAGTGAAATGCAAGGCTAGCATTCTCCTTATGAAGAGGGAGCATGCTTCTCTACCAAGATTATGCTTTTACTCTACCTAACTTATCCAAGAAAACTAAAGTACTCAGCACAGCTTTACTTTCAAATCATGCAGAAAAAAACAATCATACTTATAATGCCATGAATATTTTATGTAAAGTTTACACAGCTGATTCTCCATCGAGAGACATTATAAACATACAAGGATAATTAACAAAACAGGTCAGACTCACTTCACTGCCACACACAAAAAAAAAAAAAGCTATAATCCACATAAAAAAGAAATTACCGAAGTTCCTGATAATAAAATGGGGCATTTGCATACAAAGCACACAATTCTTATGTATTTACATGTCTAACACATTAACTTTCATATTTACATACAACTCTTTCACATCAAAGATACCACTACTACTAACTTTTTAAAAGTGAAGTGCACCTTTCCATGCATAGGTTCATGTCACCAAATAGTTATAAATGTAAATATCAAACTTTAGGTGTTAGATATGTAAATTCAAAAGAATTTTGTATGTATGCAAACTCAACTAATAAAATACGGTGACACCTGCTTAAAAATCCAGATCAACCACAACAAAGCTTGGGACTAAGCAAGGCGAACCACAATAATTTGCACAACACTGCTTTAACACACTCGCATGAATCCTCATATTAGTTAAAAAAGATTCATTTCTGATAAATTAATTCAATTGATGCCATGAAACTGTAGAAGAACAATTAAACTTCCAATTACTCGAAGCAATTTAAAAATTCCTCAATTTGGTCAAATGACAGTTGCATGATTGAACATAAAAAAAACCGCCTTTCAACCATTTAAAAAATAATAAAAGTAATAATAATAATAATATAAGGCATGCCTTGCAGATAAAGATAAAGAAATGGGAATAATCTACCTCGACAAGGTCAAGATCAAGCTTCCTTGCCAGATAAAGTGCCTCCTGTATTGAAACAATTCTATGCCCTGCAAACTGCATTGGATTACGAGATAGTCCTTTCCTTAATAAGCAAAAAACTCATCTTTGAAATTCAGAACTTCACAAAAGAGATTCAGAATCCTAAATTTTTAGTTTCTTAGTATGCAGTAAAATAAAATTGTACTAGCTACTAAGGCTTTCAATCCTGGCGGTTAATCTTCTTGAACTTCAAAAGAATTTGCAAGCAAAAAAGAAGGCTAAATAAGTATTTTTGCTATGCATATCATAAGATGAAAGAAATATTCTAAAATGAAATAGATTGCTTGAAAGAGCAAGGTAAATTACAAAACCAAAAAAATCTTGCATGTTGATATTCTCGTATTTTCCGTTTATGATTTCCATGTAGTCAGCATCATACATGCTACACTAGAACGAACATTTATAGAGCGAGATCTGTGTATGTTTATAAGCAAGGAAATGAATATAAAATTCCTAAAGTAGAAAGTGTTTTGCTTACCACTTTCTATAATAGACCCAAGTTATCACATGATACGGAAAAGGAAGACAGCGTATTTCGGTTTTCAAATACTTTCTAGCAGCACAAATTAAAAGAAAATTATGCAAATTAGATGAGAGAGAACAACAAGGTTGCAGGTAAGGAAATATGAGCATCAATTTTACTATAATATAAGGTAAGAGATTGGAGAGAGGGAATGAGAATAATGAGATTTCTTTTTTATGCTGATTGTTTTCCTTTGTATTTTGATTGTTTGGAAAGAAGTATAGAAGAGGGGCACAAATAATCCCGCTACAGTCTCATTCTAAATTTTCAATTTTTTAATTTATGACATTTACCCTCTCCCCAAGCCATCCCCAAACTTCTGAGCATTTATAGCTTTTGCAGAACCTTCATCATGGTTCAGAATACATGTAATAAGAGGTTTGCATCAATTGTTGCAAATATAACTTAACCCAAAATGCTTTATAAATTCAGTTCAAATCAAAGTTTCATTAGATAGGTTTAATTAAAATTATATTATCTTTTGGCTATTAGATTGAAATCTTTTTAAGTCACGTAAACCAAATTGCTTCGCAAAGTAACTATTGGGTTGATGATGGAATTATGAAATTTTATGCATGTTGGAAAGTCAGGTCATGACAATGGGACGAGTACAGTAATATTATAAGTTGTGACATTGGGTTTGTCTTATATTTTTATTTTCTAGTTTATTTTTTCTAACAGGTATGCCGATGATAATGATCATATCAAAAACAAGTTGTGTTTTCTAATGTTTTAATTGCCTCTTTAGGTTTGGTTTATTGTTGCAAGCCATTTAATTCAGCTCGCAGCTTCCCCAGTTTTGTTATTTCCAGTTCCCTGTTGCAGCATATAACTTGCGCTAGAAATTTCTTAAAAGGTTGGGAAATTTACATACCTAGCACACAAATTTTATGCATTTACATATGTCAGACCTAAACTTTCATATTTACATACATAACATTTTGGTACTTTACACGTATATATGAACAGGTGTATTACACTTTTAAAAAGGGGTAATAATGCTATTTTTTATGTGATATTAAAAATTTGAGTGTTATGTGTGTAAATATGAATGTAAATATGAAATGAAATTTTAGGTGTGAGATATGTAAACACATAAGAATTGTGTGATATGTATGTAAATAACCCTTAAATGCCTAGTAGGTTTAACACCCCACCCCAACTCCCCCGTGTTGTGAGACACAAACAATAATACAGTAGCAATCACTGTTTTACTTTATCGCTGATTTTAATATATGGCATTACAGCTTGTTTAACTGGTGTTTCCTTCTTTGATTCTCCTTGTGTGGCATTGTAGTAATTATATACTAAGAGCAATTCTTTTTTTCTTTGGTGATTGTTTCCTTTCTAAGCACTGTAGTGCGCTCGGTTATTTGGTTACTTCCTTTCCATATAATTTTAGTTGAAAATCAAATTTTCGTTAAAATTAATCCAATCAGGATTTTTAAAATTTAAAACACACTTTTTTCAAAACTAATATTAGAAACTTGTTTTGCGAGAATCCAAATCTGTTGAATTGAAACTTATAGTATTACATAAAAAGTTAGAGGACTGTATGAAATTGCTTATTTTTTTTTGATAGATATGAATTCTAACACATAAAAAAATATTGAATAGCTACATACAAATAATATTCTCTCGATATTATATGTGCTATTGGATGTGAATTCTTCAAACATTTTGCAAATTTTGACAACTGATGGAGAAAATTATATTTCTTGTATCAACAAGAGGCCTGAATTTTTCAATTGGTGATCCCTATCATTGCTATTTCTTCTAAATCTTTCAGTGATTGTTTTTTATGCATTATTGAAAATTTGCCGGCTGTGCTAAGCATAGATTTCAGGATTGTAGCATAAATCTCTAACGTTTTTTTGGTGGAACCTCAAATTTTAGCAAATTTTATAATATTTATTGAAATGAATTTATTTTTTAATAATTTTTCATCAAAAAGATTGATCTCTGCCAAAATTAAAAGTTTGAAAACTATGAATAATAGTTTTTGTATTTTTCTCGTGCATCTCATTATAGGTTTGCAGTAATAAAAACTATAATATAAAGCATACTGAATCAAATTGAAATCAGAGTTGAGGACAAATCTAAATGATTATAAGTGTGACTCAACAAAATAAGGATGAGATTTTGACTATTTAGCCAAAAAAAGTAAGGAATTGATAGCAAATTTAAGATCTATTAAGCAATAAATAAATCAATATAATGATAGACTTGGCACATTGAAACTAATCAACATCAATCACAAAAACAAAATAATGAATATAGTCGTAATTAAAAAAACATTCAGAATATTGTTAGCTGATGAGAAACCCATCAGGTGAAAATAGCCAATATAGACATCATGCATAATATGCCAATGAAAATTATGACAACCATAGATGACAATCTTATGACATTATTGAAAATCAATGCGTATAATTTTGATGAAAGAATACATTACATGGTTTTTACACAATATTAAATTTGAAAAACTTCTTTAATTGGCAAAACAATGTCTAGTAGAAAACAAATAAAGTATGTGATACTAAAACTAATTAAACAAGCTAAATGTGTACACAATGAGTATGGAAAGACATCGAAAGAGATCTCAACTAGAATGTACTACAGATTGAGTTGAGATGAAACTATTTTTAAAAATTAAATATCAACCATTATAGTACCGGGATTGATTTCATAATGAACTTAAAAAGAATAATACAAACAAATAATATAATTGAATACACTAATAAATTTGAAGAGTTCGAACAGTTTTAAAATAAATGAGGATCCAAAAAACTATGCTTTTAAAGTTTATATCGAGCTTGACACCTAATATCTAGAGATAAGCCTAAATATCTAGAAAAAAATACTATCAAAACCGACAATTTTTGGGTACCCAACAGCTTGAAAGCTTAAAAACTTGTTTTTTTTATGTAAATAAGAGGGGGCAGCTAATTCTAAGAAAAAAAAAATGCTACTTTAAGGACTATCCGATTACAATGTTAACAATGCTTGCTTAAGCTACCAAATTTATGTAGTCCATCTCAACATGGACAAGCAACTCTAAAACATGAAACTGCAAAATGCAAGCATCACAATTCCCAGAGATTCTTCAAACGAAGATAGAAAAGCAAAAGGAAGTAAAGGAATACCTTGATCCGTCACAAGACGCACTTCACGTTCATTGATTCCTTCGTTGATCCGAATCCCGTCATCATCCTCCACTTTAGGTTTTCGCCAATCCCCTCCCTTCCCTTCTATTTTTGGTTTTGGCTTGGCCTGAAATCCCACAACAAGATCCATAAACATCTTTTCACCCTTTTCACATAACACTCGTACACGATTATAGTGTTTTGAAGTATAAATTGAAGCACAAAGCACCTGTCCCAAAGAAACGTAATATCTAAAGTGCGTGTAGCAAAACATTGGACCGCCGCCATGGAAAGATTCTTCATAAGTCCTAAATCCTCGTAACCTAACAACAGCATTGGCCGATGGAGCTCCGCCGCCAGCGAGTACGTAGTGCCATCTCTTTGAACAATAAATGAAGCCGTCAAATCCGGTGCTCCCGAATCTACGCCAAAAAGCCATCTTTCTTGCTCGACGGCCGGCGCACAGCCCTGCGAAATCGAGAGAGATTCACGACGTGGGAGAGCTGAGGGCAAATCTGTGGCAAATCTCGAACCCCGCTTTCGATGGTCCCTTGGATCGAGCCTCGGATCGATCCGACGGTGGCGGATGAAGTCGCACGGCGACGTGGTGCTATCGAACGGAGCAAGGATGATGGGTTAATTTGGAGAGTATCAGGGCTGGCATCTAATTTTCTTTTCTCATATTTTAAAAAAGTATTTACATAAATATCCATTTAAGAAAATATTATGCTTCTTCGGCCACTTTTTTTTTTTTTTTTTTTGTGCTAATTTGAGCCACATGTCACGGACAAAAAAGTCTCACATCAGCTAGGAGTAGGGCCGAAAAGCAGTATTTAAGTCCTGGACTGCTCACCACCCTTAAGAGCTCTTTTGAGAGGTGACATATACTTTCTTTTAAATTAAAAAAAAAAAATATTTCTTTTGTACATGTTTTATTTTTTTAAGACGAAGAAATTATCAAATAAAGTTTTTATGTATTTATATTCTAATATTTAAATTTAAATTTTTACAAAAATAGCACTTTATCAATGTACAAAAGATGTTATTTCACCTTTTAAAATTGAAAAAGTCATATTTTTTTTTGTGCCAAAAAATTATTCCACGATGCTCATCCTAAAATTTGAGATTTTTTTTTTATAAATAATCGGAAATTTATAATTTTTATATAATTTAAGCAATTTGATAGTTTTGCAAACTCTCAACAATTTTTTTCCCCAATATCCAAAAAAATATTTAACATTTGCTTCTTTTGCCCAACTTTATGATTGAAGCTAATTAAACTTCAAGATATAAAAGACTTGAGGGGTAGGCATATAAAAGTAAAATTTTTAAGTGTTAAATATATAAATACATAGAAATGGGTTGAAATTTATGTAAATGCCAATATCTTAAATATCAATTATTTAATAAGTTATAGTGAAACTTACATAACTAACACACAATTCTTATGTATTTATATATCTCACACCTAAATTTTTTATACATATAGAACACTTTAGACCTTCGGTATTTTAAAAATATGCATGAAAATACATGTATCCTTTTAGAAAATGGTAATAATATTATTTATCTGTGATATTAATGATTTGAATGATATGGACGTATATATATAATTTTGGGTGTGAGATATATAAATATATTAGTAGACATCTAAAGTTAAACTTATGAGCTCGACGAGATGGACCCAATGACAACAAAGTTGGTCAAATTTGAGTCAATTAAAGCCTAGATCAAGCTGTTAATCTGCATCTGGAAGTTTTCAGTATCAAATTGGAAGTTAAAAATGGATTGCAAATCTTACAAGTTTATAGATAAATCAAGCGTCTCGAAAAATCAAATTTAACGAGCCCAAGATTGTTCAATTATAATATCATTGAGACACTCAAATGTTCATAAGACATTGCCCACTTCGTGGAAACTATTCCGGGTCATCCGATGGAGTGGCATGAATTCATTCCTTATTAGCAGAAAGATCTTTCTCAAACTCTATAAATTGAACCCCTTATTTTTTTCTCTTTCATAGTAAATAAGTCGGCTCAAACTCATAAAATTAAACTCAAACTTGAACTCAAGCTCGAGCCAGCTCAAGTGGCTCGAGTTAAGTTCCAGTTAAACTCGACTATTTTACACTCGTATTTTTTCCAATAAAATAGTTAGTATTAATTAAAAAGATGGCATTTAAAAAAAAAATTATATTTAAAGTTGAGATCATTTTTTAAAAAATAATATTGTTATTTTTTTCCTCAAAAGAACAATTCACTTAAAATCATTCAAAAATCGTTGAATTTTAGAGTGAGTGAATGATTTATGTAAGCCGTTTGTTTTGGCGATCACATCACCCATTCATGGATTTAAAAATTTCAAGTGTTTTCGCACACCAACAACCCAAAAGATTGAATATTATATTTTAATCTCAAACAATTCTTATGTAATGACCTATCTAACCCAGATTTCAATTTTAACAAAGTTTAGAGGTTAGGAATGTAAATATACAGGAATTGGATGGTCTGCATGCATGCATCTTTATATATTAAATGTATCAATCTCTCAAAGTTTATATAAGGAATGCATCATTCGCTTAATGAACAGGATATTACAATACATGATAAATTTTATTTTGAAATATTATTATTCATTCAAAAAATAAGAGCACCACCTCACCAATGCAATCATTTCTTCTCTGTTAAGAGGGGATCAATAATTCTGTTCCACTCGTGGAAGTTAAGGGCAGAGCCATAGTCTGGTAAAGGGATGCCATTAACGAAGAAATAAGGTGTACCCATAACTCCCCTCGAACAACCATACTGCAGAAAAAAAAACAATTAATTAGAAAATAAATAGGTGCATTTACATACATACCACTCAATTCATTATGTATTTATGCATCTAACACCTAAATTTTGTATTTTTTTCATATTACATACAAAATGCCAGCATTTTAGCTTTTAAAAAGTGAAATACACCTTTTCATGCACGAATAAGATGACATTTATGTAAGAACTGAAGTTTAGGTGTTTAGATATGTAAAAACATAAAGATTATGAGGGATGGGAATTGGTCACCTTGAAGGAGATTCTGGTTGCCATATCAGTTTTTGAATCATCGAAGCCGGACTTGATGGCAGAGTATGATCCCCGACCCACAGCTTTTTCCGCAATCTTAGAGAAATGATCAGTTATGAAAGCCCTTGATTTATTGTAAGTTGGTTCATTGTAGTATTTCTCCTGTATCATCAAGATGCCCGATAATACATGAATCACAAAATTCTTATGTATTTACATATCTACACCTAAATTTCATATTTATATTTATAACACTCAAAACTTTAAGATCACATCGCAATGATCACCATTGTGAACTTCTTAAAAGTGAAATATAACTTTACATGTATAGGTTTATGACACCAAAATGTTAAAAAGTATAAATATACAATTGTATGATATGGTATGTCTGTAAATTTCTCTTTTTAATATTTGGAAGACAGAATTTTACTAATGAAGGTCCTATCTACTCATGTGTATGCTGAGTAACATAAATAGCAACCAAAACATTGCTTTGAAGAATAATTAAAGAGTAATTATTTTAGAGAAATAATAGAAGTGATGTTAATAAGTAGAGTAACACACATAGCACCTGAAACATTGCTATTTACAGATCTAGCACCCGCCTTCATCCATTCTTAAAATTCTCACTCAGATATCAAAATTCACAATACAATCCCAATCCATATTTTTCATGTTTATCAAATTCTCAATGATTTGATTGTGACAAGCGTGGATAAATCGGTTCGGTAGTTCGAAAATATCACATGACTGCTAGATTTTGTAAATAGAAACGTTTTAACTGCTATGTATGTAATTATCCCTAAAAAGAATGGATAAATGAAAATAAATTTAAATATCCATTAGAACTAAGATTTTTAAGAAAATTAAATTTAGTGAAAAGATTGAAGTGCAGGAAAACTACCTGGTATTTGAAGAAGAGATCAAGCAACGGATAAGCTGAGGAAGCATTTAGATTATTTGCAATATGAAGTGCACGGCAAGAAGCATAGGAATTGCTGTGGTATCTGATGTAAGCAAGTAAAGACATTGATTTCAGATAATTTACACTATGAAACAAGAGTTGTGTTTAATGGAGGTATAAAAGGCTGAAAATAATGTTCCCAAATATCTACCAAATTGATAACAAATATTATATGGTTGAAACACAAAAAAAAAAAAAAGGCTATAAGAAACCAAAATGAATGGCGATTTTTATGAAGAACAGAATATTTACAGAGGGAAGAAGATAAGCAAAGAAACATTTGATCCTAAATGAAATATTAAATAAAAAGTGTGATATATTATTATAAATTATAATATAATATAAGATTATATTAATATTTATATGGGAATAGATTAAATTTCATTATTTATAAAAATTTAAGTAAGTTTAGCTAAGCTTGAAAATAAAAAATGTTAAGATCGAGTTGTAACACTATATTAAATAAACACGATGCAATTATAATAATATTACAAGAAAAAAAACTTAGTTATAATATTTATATGAATTCCCAAAAAGATATATAATATATATATATATATATATAT